AGAGATGAAATTTACCCTTGCAGCTGGAGCAAATCCACTGGAAACAATATGAGACAACATTAGGTTTTTTATGGAATGGAGACATATTGGGTATACACTGATTCATGATTCTCAACTGAAATGGAGACCAATTCTGCAGGCACACATACCGTGAAACCTCAGTGACCTCCATGAAGTTGCATGAGTATAACAGAGGAAATTTTGATTCATTCCTTTTGACAGCACAGTCTCCTATTCATCTCTCCATCAGAGGGAAAATGAAGTTTTTAAATGTTCAGTGTGATTAAGTAACCAGAAGTTCACATGCTGGCATCTCATTTCCTCTTGTCTCTGTCTCATTGGTCTACTGGTCTGGAAATTTCACAGAACAGGCTCTCTCTCTAGGCCTTAAGAGCTTCCAGGTTCCATGGGAGCACAAGACACCACATGCACAAACTTTCTCACACTATTTCTATCCCTCACCTTCCAGTTAGGCTGACTTTTTTAAACACTGAAACTAGAGATGGACATGAGCCAAAACTCTGGACGAGAAAGGAATTTGGACCCATCTGTACTTAACAGACCTGGATAATGTTCAAGTTTGGGCATACATTTGTGTAGGTGTTTATTTCATCCAAATTGGTTTGCCTAGTCCTACTATAAACAAGTTCCTAAAAGCGTAAAGAAAACATTTCCTCTCAGAGCTGTAAGACAGTGCTCTACCCCCATTTTCTGCTCTCCCCATAAGCATTCAACTTGTACTGAGTGAGACTTTCAGGAGAAAAGATCCTTAGCTGCTGTAAGTTGTTTTTGTGCCATTAAAGAGTATTTATGCCAACTGAGGATGTGGTCCAAGAGCTACAAAGTAGATCTCAGAGGACTTTTTTTCACTAAGAATTGAAATATGCCCTCTGGAACAAATGCATTGACCAATTAAGTTTTATACAGGACAAGAGAATGTGTTCATTCTTCAGGTTACTATAACCCAAATCTCCCTTGAATATTATAAATACAGCAAAGAGATGCTATCAGATTTATCAAAATCTCGGGGTTTGGAGGACATTCAGATATGCTTTCAGTGGACCATGTACTTCAGTATTTTCTCTCTACTATTTTTTTCATAATGACTTTTAACTCATTGTTCAGAAAAAGAAAGTGATTCTCTAATACTCTTATTAACAGGATAGCACAGATGAGCCTAGGGGAAGCTTTCAGTAAGTTTTTTGCTTCTCCTTGTAAAGGACTTTCAGTATCTGAGAATTTTGTGCCAATATACTGTAGACTAAAAAAATAAACTGACTAATGTTGCTTCAGAAATGGTATGGTCTAACTATTTAAAGGATGAGCTTTAATGTTCCAAATGATGAATTTTGCAAGCGTTAAATATTATTGAAGAAAAGTGCTGCAGAATGCACTATTATACAAAATGAAATCATTAGTGTCATGAGATCAACTGTAGGTCCAAAGCAATATGGCCAGCAACCCTTTTTGTTTAAATTCCCCAAAATATATGAAGTGTCACAACCCAATCATTAACAAGAACTTTCAAAGTTCATAATAAATTGGGCTCAAATGGTAAATTTTATGGGTCCATTTCATTGTTTGATGTTGATTGGCTTGACACTGGTCTGGCTTCTTAGGCTTCAGCAAAATCCTACTTTGATTCAAGCATGTATGGACAGAGAAACACAACTATAACATTTTCCTTCCACCTTCTTGATGTTAACCATATAATTGCAGTATGGAATTATTACCCGGTTGCATTGTGCATGATACAGGAAGAGACTCCAAGGCTCAAGAAGTTGCCCATGGTCACCTGAAAAGTCCATATCCTCCATAACTATAGTTAGAAGACAGTTGTCTTCTATTAGATTTATCAACTAGTAAGCAATGGAAGTGTTGGTAATGCTTCTACCAGTGTTTCTCACCTTTTTTTTAAAGGTACACCTTTAAAAAAAATTAAAAGCACCCCCAGTACCTAAAGTTTTCAGACACACAAAATTTTAAACAATTTAATTATAGCTGGGCGGGCAATGAAATTTTTGGGTGCAAAAAGTACAAAAATAATAAAGCGCTGTAAAACAAAATAAAAATTAGGGTTGTCCAAATTTCAGTTGTGTTGACATACCCTCCCCCACAAGACTTCTCTCAAGTACCCCTAAGAGTACTCGTACCACTGGATGAGAAACACTGAACTAGACCATTCCAACTCCCAGTCAATATACTTTACTAGCTTCTCTGATACATTGTCTCCATATGCACAGTTCAGAGGGGCAATGATATTGAACTACTGTAAAGCAAGGTACTGTAAGTTCTACAGCAATGCAAAGTTAGATTCAGAAAGGGAATTCAAGTCAACATGTCATGGCTAGTAGCTCCATGCTTTAATCCACTGGCTTTTTAGGAGGTTCCACCCATGCAGTTAAAAGTCATACCTGTCAATTTTAGCCTAATAATGGCTTTTTTCACATATATCCAGACAGTGCTAACTATCATTTAAATTCCCCCAAATCCATAAATATTATTCAGGTTGAAAAACAAATACATCTTTATCAAAAACAACAATCAACAGTCCGCACATCTTACTTGTATCAGTGCTATGTATCCAAAATAAAACTCATCTCAGGGCAGATGACCAGAATAAGAGGTATGTTTTACATTCATCTCATTTACATCCCGTTTTGAGGGCTAACCAGGCAATTGAACTGCCATCTCGTTTTCCGGAATGGGCCCGGACCTGGAGGGGATGGAGAAGGCAACCTGATCTCCTCCACCTCTTCGCTGCCAGGCCTACTTTTCTCTATTTATTGCTTCCTACCACCCATTCTCACATCCCCAGTATTAATCCTGATTATTACTCAGAAAATGGTGACGTTCATTTTTGCACCAAATTTTGGCCATTTTTACAACAAACACCAGTAATTTCCTGAGAAATCTTAAAATAAAAACTGAAGACAAAGGCACTTGCCATTTGGCTTCCACTTGCCCGATTAATTGACAGAGGGTGTTTCAAATTTGCCATATCAGCTGCACCATTTAAAGTATTTTGAGTAATGAGGGCAATTTACTGTTTTGGGTGGAGAAGAGGGTGTTGGGGTTGAAGAGAATAGTGTGAGAGTTTAAAGACTTTATTCTGGAGAAATGGCATCCTTCAGTAGGGAAGGGAGACATTAATAGAAAATAAAGCCTTTCAGAAGTTCTGGTTCAGTAAATAAGTTTCCTTAAGCACATCCTCCCATTCCCATTGAAGAGATTTGCACAAAATAAAATATAAATCTCCTACTGACTTCAGTTTTATAACACGTGCATTTGACTTGTGATGTAGGCCATCTGTTAGTTGGCAAAAGTAATAGCTAAATATTAACATGGACCCTTTTCCAAGTTATAGGTCAAATGCTATCACACGTAAGTGTTATCTATTCATTAAGATAAAACAAGTGTCTTGGTGTCACTAATTATTTATTTGATTAGTTGCCTATTTCCAGAACTTCAGAGGCAGCAAATACACCCTTATTTTCCTCTACTGGAGTAGTGCGTCTGTTTAGCCCCTCTTGGCAATTCTTAAAAATCAAACATGTTGCTTTGAGACTTTGCTAGAAAAGGAGAAAGTGAAGACTTTAGCATGTTTCAAATAAACATTCTGAAAATAAATCCTGCTGTTCCAAAATTTTATCACAGCGGAAGGGCTATGTTTAGAGGGTAGCTGGAGTAGATTCCTGTTCTGCTGTCACACCACTTTTGGTTCTGATCTGGTCAGATTTCAAGCTATGCAGTGACAGGCATGGTCGGTCTTTTAATTGGAGACCTCCAAAGAAGTGGCATTGGTGTTTCAAGAGGTGGCACTCTTCCCTCCACATCAGTAGAAAATGTATTGTCACAGCATGGGTTTAACAGGCTCTCTTGCTATGCTTTCAGTAAGGCACAAATCCAAGATTCTGATCACTTAAAAAGCTTCCATAGTAACAAACTCCAACCCCCATATGAAATACTAGTAAATAGGATAATATCTGTTGGAACAAGCAACAAGGAGAAGGGTACATCAAGTATTCTAGGAAGAGATTATAAATACAGGCTAATTACAGTTCTGAGATATCTCTTAAGTAAAACCAGGATTCTTCTTTTAATTATAAAGATCTTGCACCCAGTTCTTGGCTGCTGCAATGCCATCTTTTACCATGTGTGCGCTTTTACATTTTTATCTAGTGGTAACAAAAATATATATTGCAGCAACTATTTTAATGGAGAACTTTTTCATCAGTAAAATATACTGAAATATAGACGCCTGTATCCGATTTCAATATTATTGGCTAGTTTGGCATTATAAGAAAATCTTTTCAAAAGAACTCATGCTGTTTGTTTGAAAGATATTTTAACGTGATTTAGCCCTTTTCCCTCTTAAAAAAAAAAACAAACTGAAGGGGAAAAAATCCATTTAAAAAAAATAATAAGAGTGTTAGCTTCAGTGCCATGTTCCAGTTTGGATAAACAATTTGGAACAAATTCAGCCCTGATGTAAATAGAGCCATAGTCGCTGAAACCAGTTACATTTTTTGAAAGTTATTATTTTTAAAGCATTCCATCTCAGAAATGGCTTTGGCAACATGTCCCAGATGTTGTATATATTCTTGTCCAAAAGGAAGACTGACGCCCATGAATACTACTGGAACAATGAGTTGATTAGCTTTTTAAATTGTTGAGACCTTTTAGGGTTGCAGAGATCCCATGTGCATAGTACAAAGGCGGTGTCTGTGGACAGTTGTAGTTCTGAGGTTAGGTACAAAAGAAAGTTATGGGGTGTTACATGGGAAGAAACATCTTAGGCCTTAGCTATAAGAAGAAGTAGGCTGAGCCTAGGTATGAAAAAGTTCCAATGCATGAATGCTGGGGGAGCTTTACATCACATCAATGGAGTACTTCAAATTGTCTGACAGAATGGTAACATACAGAAGATTCTGCTCTAACAATCTGCATTTAGATTTTAAACTCTTCTAAAACTGTTTTATTTTTTAATTATTTTGAAGAGTCTACCTATCGCCATCAGGCAACTATCGATGATGAAGTTGTTTCCATGGAGATACTAGACACAGCTGGTCAGGTGAGTGAGAAGAGTTGAGAGGATCCGGTTCTCATACAAGAATAAGCAGGAGAACAGAGGTGGGAATAAGCAGATGCATGACATTTCCAGTGACTTAAATCAAGTAGAGCCCATGCTATCCTGAGCAGCGGCTGCCAGGCCCAAGTGCTGCACACAAATCGATGTTTTGAGTTTGTAATGTGGAAAACTGGGTGGCCAGCTAGGTAACCCTTTACTGTATATGCCTTAACTGTAACAAAGGCTGCATAAGAAACTGTGGCAGGTACCCCCAAGTTATTGCAGTTCATCAGATGCCCCAGCTGTCTCTGCACACGAGGAGCCTCCCACATAAGTCTGCAAGATGAAGGCTCTGCATGAAATCAGTGCGAAGTCATCTATGCTAACAGTGACCTGCTTGCCCCAAGTCACATGACCAGATTTCCCTAGTAGGTTGTCACTCTTGCCAGGGCAAGATACAGACAGTCTAGCAGTATCGCGCTAAGTGACCCATGTGGACACCCAAGAGTTGGGAAGTGTCCCTGAGCTAACTTCGTAGAAAGGCATTGCAACACCAGGATATAGGGACCAAATAGCCACTGCCCATAGCTAGCTGAGCATACACCTGTGCAACCAGGACATATAAGCTATACTCATGAAAACAAACCATGTAGATTCACCCTCCCCACAGCAACCTTTCCCTCTAAAACACCAGCAGGTGTTCACACTGAAAACCACTAGAAACCTGCCTAAAGCTACCAGACTTTTCCTCAAAAATCTTCTTCACGGGCACACGACATAACTATGTTCACAGCTGCAGCTCCAGAGGGCCTGATTCTCCACTGCCTTGCAACCTGTGCGGTCATCTCCACTTTTGCAGAGTGGGTATAAAATTAGGAGAGTTGTGGTTTTACATCTACTTTGCCCATGTATAAATGGCTTTGCATGCTGCTCAGTCACTGAGAGGTGAGCCTAGTGGATGGATGTCTACCTGAAGGGCTGGTACTATTTTCCCAAACTGTACTTAACCAATGTATAATCTTTTCCTTAAACTGGTGTCCTCCTTTTCAAACAGGAGGATGCTATTCAGAAGGAAGGACACGTACGATGGGGTGAAGGCTTTGTGCTAGTCTATGACATCACCGACAGGGGCAGCTTTGAGGAAGTGCTGCCACTTAAGAACTTGCTGGATGAAGTTAAAAAACCCAAGAATGTTACTCTGATCCTAGTGGGGAACAAAGCAGACCTGGACCACTCCAGGCAAGTCAGCACAGAGGAAGGAGAAAAGCTAGCCACAGAACTGGCATGCGCGTTTTATGAGTGCTCTGCTTGTACAGGTGAAGGCAACATCATGGAGGCCTTCTACGAGCTGTGCCGTGAGGTACGGCGTCGTAAGATGGTCCAGGGCAAGACTCGAAGACGGAGCTCCACCACCCACGTCAAGCAGGCAATTAACAAGATGCTCACCAAAATCAGCAGCTAAAAGAATTGTAACAAAGTAGAAAACCGCTGTAGAGCAGGTTACCGGTAGTTTGGGGTAAGGAAGGTCAAAGCTTTATTTAAAAAAAAAAATCACTTCATCCTTTTTGAGTATATAGAGCAGATTCTGGTCTACTTGATTTAAATGGTTTTAGAGTGGTAGTGTGCCCCACACCATTTCTGTCCAGCATCAGAGACAGGATGTCCAAAGAATTGGAAGACTCAAGGGTCTGGTAATGAGACAGCTTCTCAGTTCCTGGTTTCAATGCAGCCCTGACTGACGATAATTGAAAATCATTATCTTCTGGTGGCTGCTCAGAGGCCTATGAGTCTCGGTCCAGAAACAAGTGATATCCTCAGCAGAGGCAGCAAGAACTGAATCACCTGAGACACTGCTTTATTTACTCTCCAAAATTGTTAATCTGGCACCTTTCACTAGCACTACATTTACACCTAATTGCTTTTATTATGACCCATCCTTTCTTGTATTATTTTTCCAGCTCAATACTAGTGCCTATATTCTTAGGTATGTATTTAATCTAGGGAGATATTGCATGCCGGTAGAGATTTCGACCAGAGATGGGTGAATTTTGACAGGTCTGAAGGACCTAAATATGGCTGTATTTCCAGGTGTCTCAGATCTGCAAAAGTGGGCAATTGCTTTTATTATGACCCATCCTTTCTTGTATTATTTTTCCAGCTCAATACTAGTGCCTATATTCTTAGGTATGTATTTAATCTAGGGAGATATTGCATGCCGGTAGAGATTTCGACCAGAGATGGGTGAATTTTGACAGGTCTGAAGGACCTAAATATGGCTGTATTTCCAGGTGTCTCAGATCTGCAAAAGTGGGCAAGGAGTATTGCATAAACAGCTTTTTCACTCCACCTCAGAGAACAGATGTTTGTATTGGGGGCGGGGG